TCGCTCAAGCTATACAATTCCAATGGTTGAGCGCACTAACATCCACGTCCAAGTGGCTATCAAGTTTCGAGGGATTAGTCGACTTCCGGAACATCTCGGATAGCTACCCCACTTGAGCAACCGCACTTGGATACTCCACAGCAACTGGGGAAAAGTCGAGTAAGAACGTCATGAGTGTAAAACGCAACAAGTAGGAGTCACCATGAACTTCACCCAGGAGGGTGTTGCTTGGTGTTGGACTGCTCGAAGTACAGCATCGCACAAACCGCAATTAAATTTGGATGAAGATTCGAATTGTGCGAATAAACACGGGCGATACTGGTCTGAATGTGAAACGGTACATAGACTGGAGATGAATTCCACTCACCATGAACATATACACGTGCGTATAGGAAGAAAGAAAGAGTGACCAGGCGAGCTGGGTAGAGTGTGGTCACATGAACAGTAAACAGGATATGAAGGTGGCTTGGAGTTTTTGATTTTAATCAAGTTCATTCTAACTAATGTATTTTACCATGGCAGCGAGATAGCCGAATCTGAACTAATCACGTGATGTTTCCGCGGTCACAGGCATTGTAAATCTCGACCACGGAATGATTTCACGTCTAATCAGTTTTGGCATTCGCCCAATACCTCTCACTCTCTCTATCCCCTGTGCCGCATTCCATTTTGAAACAATCAGATTTGATAAATAACAAGAACAAAAAACAGGAAACAGTTCCTACAAAGAACGAATTAAAAGTGACACGTATATACTTCGTCGTTCAGTAAAGTATCATGTTCGATAACCGGTTTTCTCGAGGAAAGCACAGAACATTCACACAGCAGTCATACATGTTTAACAGTAATTTTCTTTCGTGCAATATAAGTTCACATTCAATCAATCACTTTTATTCGTGCTTCGAAATAAGGTTCTATTTTTCGACTCTCTATTTGGTCGAATAGTGACCCAGGAGTAAATGAAAGAACATTTTATTTATTACAAATACATTTTTGTGTGTTGAACAGCAGACGAGGTAAACACCATAGACGTGAAGACCTAACCTACTATTCTGTGATAGAAACCGGCATCCTAAGCACCGGGCACTTAGAGTGGTGAACCATATAAGGTCTCGCAAGGTTAGGCGTGATATTAACCCGGGGCTCAGTTCTGACGCAGATGCACGGAATGAGGGTGAACGCGAGTACACGAGCAGTTCACATGGCAGCTCTGCTTGTCCTGCTCTACCATCACAAATACGAATACTAAAACAGACAATCAAAGTTGTGTATAGACCAAAGATCCCATCTTTGTAAACCACAAATGTCAGAGCAACGGTGGTGGGCGGTGGTGACCCGGTGGTAAAGTCACCAAATTATCACCCCGGAAAACGAGTGTTCGAATTCCACCATCACCGGCTGACTTTCACCCATTTATGTGTGTGTTGAATGGCAACCCGCTGAGTGGCAGCTTACCCTCCCCCCCCTTCGTGAAAATTGTATCATTGTGTATTTAATAAAATGAAAAGAAAGAAAAGAAAAGAACGGCCGAAACAGTTAGTGTACACTGAATCATGAGTACGTTATATACGAATACTGGCTAATTGTTAGAAATTTCTGATACCACGGAGACAGATAACAGTATAACGCTGGGTTTTTCTCTCTCGCAAGATGTCTAAGCAACAACAACAACAACAACAACAACAACAACAAACACAATTACCCCAGCCTTTCATTCTGGAAAGATTATGATCAAAAAGTACTCACAATCAAACGGAATAGGTGACTTTTACAATGAGAACCACGAATCATGTGAATACTGTGAGATAGTGTATAACGACTACAGCCCAACCCACCCCACACAAATTCCATTCACCGGCGTTTTACGACCAGGCTCCTGTGTATCGACTTACCTTCACTGATTTCGTTACATTCATCTAGCAACGGGACACCACGACGACATCGATAGGTCGTGTTCGTATTCTCACAGTCTTCCACCCCGGCGTCACACAATTGCAGGCCTCGATTGGCTGCTTGCAAACACTTGTCAATCGGACACTCGTCTGTGCTCATGAATTCGTACGTGGCCTGAAAGAACACGGTGAAAACCAGAAAATTCCGTACAATATTTCATGTAGAAAACACATTCGTCTAACGGAAATATCCATCCATATATGGCGCTCTGTCGCTATTTATAAATGCCTATCGCCTACAGGTGTTCAGTATATTCCACCTGAATTAACCCAGTTTTTTTTCAACGTTCACCAGGATTTCACCAACAAATTGTCACCGGTCGCGTTTCTTTCACCGAGGAGCCAGACCATTTCAAGTGGAGCTTTCTAACGTGTGAGCTTGTGTCGTATAATTCACGTTCCCAAAGTAAATTTGGTATTTGTTTTACATAAAGGATGAGAGAAACTGACGAAAGAGAGAACTCAGAAGGATGGTTGAACCCAGATGATAAGATGTGTATGACAGCGTAAAAAATTCAACGTTTTCACAAAAATGTTAGATCATAGTGCTTGTAAAAAAAACAGTTAACCATTGAGTCATGTAACCGTCCCCTCAAGTCTCCCGATCTTCAACCAGATAAGGATTCCGAGACTCCACTCACCATCTGAAGATTCCCTATTCAAATCCCAGCAGGAGTCAGGAAGTAGCGTGTGCAAATTACCAGTCCCAACTTTTTTCTCGTTAGTAGATGAAATTTCAATTCATGATGCACAGTTATGGTTCAAAATAATAACCATTTTGATATAACGTAAATATTTCCACTGCGGTAGAAAACTGTTCCGTAGAGGGTGAAGGTCACGTGAAATTAAATTCTCGAGTACATTGAATAGTTCTAAGCAGCTGCCTACTGCGTGATTTTCATTGCATGTTGATCTTGTTGATCACTGTCCAGTACAGACCATCGATCGGTCATTTTCCCTAGGGCGTGCTGACCGTGGCACGTGACTTAACGACACGGGCCGGCAGTACGTCTGTCTGAACAGTGCTCATAAAGCATCGTCGGACATGTTGCTCACGCTCTTTGTTAGGCAATAGAGAATATTCCCGAACATATAAAATGCCAGAAACCCGAGAGAATAAAGGAACTCACAAGGGTTGGAAAAGTTTGCAGATCGTGAGCTCCCACGGACTTTAACAAGATCCAGGGTTGATCCAGTAAGCGCTTTGAAAACATTATTTTTAATTATTTTGAAACAAATAATCCATAATATCATTAGTGAGTCTGTGAAAGGCTCCAACCGAGTATTGAGATGTGCTAGGCGCGATCCCCGTAACAATGTCGCAAAGATGGGTTGTGCTATATCGTGTGTACTCAAAATGGGAAGCGGTCTGATCCGGTCTCAGTTGGACGAACGGGTAGCATGGTTGCTCACTGCCTATGAGGTCCCGGGCTCGATCACCAGTGGGGTCGATGGATTCGTGCTGCTGATGAGGACCAACCGGACCCAAACACCAGTCCAGTGTTTTCTATCTCTTCAGCTTACACTTTCTTCACACGATGAATTCATCACATAAGCAGATTATAAATGAAACTCGGGGGATCTGGTAAAACATACACCTCATTGCAACCAGTCTACCTCAGATTTCACTCTGGGAATTCATTCATGTGCATCAGCATTCATCAGCGTGAGACTCAGGAATGAAGGTAAATAGAAAACAAAATGCACGGCATAAGGAACTTCAAAACAAATCGGACCTATACAGAAGGCAGATGAATTGATTCGGTCGCGCTAAGGACGCGAACAGCTTTTGCAACGCACGTTTGAGCTGTGTTGGCGATTCACGCATTCTCGTGACTTACTCACACGTTCACCGTGTCTCCTCAGGCTATTCTAATTGGTCCGGTTCCAGCCAATCACACACACTCACACATGCAGACATGAGCCACGGGTTCAGGATTCGCAGCTATTTCGCCCATCAGTTTGGCCCCATTTTATGTGCAATACGATTTATCAAATTCCATTACATGTACAGTGCATGTTTTCCCCAGATTGCTACAGAAATACATTAACACGTTACTTTTCGAAGAAAAGATTATTGCGTGCCCGAAGTACGTCACAGACAAAACAAAAGAATACACTAAGTGGTCTCCGAAATTAATGGAATCTATTTTCCGGCGATGTAACTGGGAAGTACGCTTATAACGTTGCCTGCTCTTTCGAATCTATGCGACAGAGATAAAATAGACTGATCTCGTGGTGCACTTTCTTTGCTGCTCATTTCGGAATTTGCACATGCAGCGTTTAAACAGTGCTAATCTATCCCTTTTATTTTGATGTTCGATGCTATGGCTGGTTAACTCTTCTATCTGGGCAGTTGTGAGGAGGATAGACTCGAACAGATGTTAGAATGAAATAGATGTGGGGACGACGTGATAATCCGCCTAGGGTTGAAATGCTACAACTAGAGTACGCCCTGCTTCACACCTGAATTATTTTGAAACAGTTTGGACAGTAGGGTAAAAAGGGCAGTTTTTAGAGCTGTTGTTCGATGATGCAGGAACCCGGTGAATAATGTAGAGTTGTGAACAATGGCTTGGAAAAATTAGACACAAGGAGTTTGTTGTGGAGAAGGACAGCAAAGGATGTGTTATCGATTAAATGGAAACGGTAAAAGATGGAAAAAACTTCGGCAGTGATTTCACACACACACACACACACACACACACACGAAACTGTCGGATCCTTACGT